TTCCGCGACTCCGTTCGTTAACTGAATTGTTCGTTAACCGAAGCAATTTTTCCCATAGAAATTAATGCAAATGCAATTAATCCGTTCTAGTCTCCGAAATTTTTGTCATTTTATTTGTAATATACAGTAATTTTCTTTGATGAAAATGTAGGAAAACATAGTATCTATCATTACAGCAACAAACATGTAAACTTTGTTTAATAAAATAGCACTGTACATACCTTCGTTTGTTGTAGTTGGTGGCAGAAAAGTGGAGATATACAAACCTTAATGCTTAGAAGGGGAATCCCGTCCAAAAAAATAACGGGTAGCACTTCATCGGAAAATTCTTCGAATCGAAATCTCTTTCAGTAAAAAAACCTACCAGTGGCTAAGTGGTCTTCGTACCTTGAACATGGGGAGTTCATTCATGGGTTCGCACCTCACTCAGACGGGCTGGCCACATGGAGTTTTCCGGGATTTCTCCACGTCTGTAACGCCTAAATAGGGGCCAGTTTCCCTTAAAAACACCTCCCAGAAGGCATTCCCCCTAGTCAGATTGCCCAAGTGTTGCATTGCCATAACTTAACAAAGAAACAAACTCTTTCCATAAGGAACAAGAAATTGTCTAAAGTTGATTGTCTTACTCTTTAAATCAAAATTTTTCTCAAATGTGATAGTGCATTGTTGTTTATATTGCGTTGTCGTTTTCTATTGCCACTATGACTTTTTTCTTTCTTGGATTGATTAAATATATAAATCACAAAACTGAAAAAAGAAGTATAGCACAAACACTCAGAAAAGCAATGCTTAACTCGCGCATGCCTAACACCAAGTAAAATTTGACACAAAATACCGTTACATTCGTTATCTGAGACAAAATTTTGCAAAATAAAAGTTTGTTAACCAATTTGGTCGTTAACCAGGACGTTCGTTAACCGGGGTTCCACTTAGTTCAAAATAATATACTTTCTCATTTGATATATTCTTTTATAAAATATTAGAGAATTATGATGTAAATGTCTTTTTATAAACTGTTAAAAATGTGAAATTATTTCTTACTTCAAAAGTATACTTAGCATTATTATCTGAAATGAGTTCCATTAACACTGAAGGCTCCAAAACTCTGTTTAGCACACTGAAAAGGGACAAATACCAAAATATTGATATTTTATTAATGAAATTTCTCCATTTATAACTGAAATTCTGAAAAATATAAATGAAAAAGAAAAGCAAAAATAGCTTATAAAAATGTTTAATTAGTAAACTTGATATATATTATTTTTGTCTGAAAATAAAAAATAATAAAAATCAAGCATGTACAAATAGATGTAAAACAGAGACATATTTCCTTTATAACCATTATGTAGTGTATTTAAAAACATGTGACTGCACAACATCCTTTATTTGGCATACATAGTGGTTAGGAAATAGTAATACAAAACAGTTCCAAAACAATCAAAGAAACATTAAATGTTTCTCATCTTATTTTTATATCAAATAATCAAGTTTTCAAAAATAAATAAAAAGATTTGATAACTGAAGACATTTTTGACTTCTATAGTTAATTTAAAAATTTATTTATTTTTAAGAATTTAAATTTTAAGGAGTCAAATATGTCAAATTCTGTTCAAATGAATAAAAGTATTTAGTAAAGTAAAATAAATCAATCAACAAAAGAGCCATTTAACAATCACATAGTAATTCAAACAACAATATGTAAATTTTTCAATCAGACCAAAATGTAAATCATGAAAGCATTCTTGATAAATTGTATTACAACACATGATGCCAATTCTCTAAGATCCAACATAATGCAGTCTGCTAGGTGATAGAGTACAGTGGCAATGCCTTATACTAATGAACAATACAGTAGAGCATCAATTATCCGAATCAATTGGGGACTGGGGTTGTTTGGAAAAATCAATTTTTTGGATAACTGATTATGTATGAAAAAATATATTAACCTATCCCATGTTGAAATTTGTTCAAATCCTGGCACGTCCTTAAGTATCCTCTCGTGGTCGTGCCAGTGCTGACATCTAAAACACACACCAACAAAAATAATATTGGAGTAGCCCAAGACATAGCCAAAGATTGCAGCACCACAGCACAGTGACTGAAAATCTTTCGGTTGATCGATATTCGGATAATCGATGCTCTACTGTACTGTGAAATGGTTATTCTATATAAAGAAATGAGATGAAATGTAAGAGAAGCTGCACAGATTTCAAAAGCATCTTCCAGCTTCATCAAGACCAATGTATATGATAATTCTGTGTCCACTGGATGAAGACTGATAGCACAATTAGGGATCATAAACCAAGTTGTGCTTGCATTAATGATGGTGATGTGTTGGGGAACTTCCATACATATCCACATTTGAGCATATATGAAGCAGCAAGTCTTTGTAGACTGTAGCAAACACAAATACAGCAGATATTATATCATCTTGATACATACCCATTCAGCTGCTACCTGTCACCAGCACAATATGCAGATGCTGCACCCAGAAAATTGAATGGTGCAACATTATGTTCAATCTGAAGTTGTTAAATATACAGCATGATTGCTGTATATTTAACAACTATGGACTGACAAGACATTGTTTTCCTGGAATGAACTGTATAACCATCACAACGTACACTAAGCAGTATGTGCTCCACCATGTATGCGACACCAAGTACATTTTACTCCAAACATCTGGTGGGTTATTAGGAATGAGTAGCCTCTTGGTCCCATATTCACTGATGACACCCTGAATAGTGATTGGTGTCCAACATCATAAACACAACTGTGGATGAATGACTTGATGACTTGCCATTAGTGAAACTACATCAGGTTTGATACCAGCATGACGACATGCCACCCTATTCCTGGACAAATTATCAATGGCTTACAGAGTAGTTTTGCAACTGCTAAATAGGACAACACTGCCCTGTTCCATGGAACCTAATTCCCTAAAGTTAACCCCTCTAGATTTTTTCCTACAGATTTTTTTCCAGTTGTTTCAAACATGTTCTCTAACAAATTAAAGCTCATTTTTTGTATCAATTTATACAATGTTGTCTTTTTCCAAGTCAGCAATTATTTGTATGTTATGCTAGATTGTCTTAAATTGATTCTCTTTGGTTATTTTTAGCACTGGAACAAGCATGCATCACATGCATACATCTGTGTAATACTGAAAAAGTCTCTTTTGCCCCTGGCCAGATGTTTAAAGATACCATGTATATATAAGATGGAATAAAAATGAACCAAAGTTTTGGCACAGATATTTTAAACAGTACACAGAAACTCTTTCATGACACCATATTCAAAGTATGCTGATGCAGCTTTACATTTCTGCTAGCATCTACATTTCTTATTAAAACAATTCTTGAAGCCATATTTTTATGTAAGGGCATTCATTGCTGTAGCTTCCACATTTGTCTTCCATTGGTCATTCCTGGTTAAAATACTTAATCAGAAACCAAGAAAACAGTCTGAAGTTTTGAACTAAAATGATCATTTAGTTCTCTTCAGACTTTTATCTATTATTAAAATGAAAGAAGTTAAAACATTGCAGGTTTCAATCAGCAACAGAATTGAAATTAGAAGCAATGAAAGCCTGTAGACCTCACAAAAAATAGCTTCCAGGATTTGATAGATAAGGACAATGGGAAAATTTGGAGTGTGATATAAAAACCTTTTGTGTAATAAAACCTGTGCCAAAAGTTTCACTCATTTTTTATATTTTATATGATATATATTATTTTCTAAATTAGCTCTTGCTAAATATTGCATGTCAAAAAGTATATAACTTGTTATACTAAAAATTTATTCTTTAACTATTACAACTGGATGTATTATCAAACACTACAGCTATTATAAATACAGCTCATATTTTTATACTTTACACAGTTTTCTTGAGAAATTGACTCTCATATAACATACATATATTTTGAAATTCTATATTTTAATGTTGATTCCATTATATTTCTTTATTTATAAAAAAGAAGCTTTTAAAACAAAAAATTTAAATATGCATGATTAAATTTAAAAAATTTGAATTGTAAATTAAATTTGTTAAATACTAAAAATACAATAAATGTTTTTTTAATAGATGAGACATTTTGTAAATAATTTCAATAATAATTTTCAATCTGTTAAATTATAAGTAAAAGTCTTTAATATATTAATATTTTGAAAAAATTTTAAAATTAAGATTTGCTATTTATATAATAGTAATTCACTGCATTAAACATGGCTGGGGATTCCAGCAGTGTCTGCAACTTTTCAGAATAATTTGTCTCCTAATGATCACTCTTCTGCTGTATAAAATAGCTTGTAATAATTTAGCATCTGCTGATTTATTTATAATCTTAGTAAAATCTATTAGTAATCTTAGTAATCTTTACTACAAAATATCTTTTTTTCTATATAATATTAATAAAAAAGTATTCTGCTACATTATGTCTGTCTAATCATAAAGCAGATAGACATCAATAAAAAATATCATCAGTTTTCAGCAGATTATGTTCAAAATCACATCAGGATAGAAAAAGAGTTACTAGTCTGATGAGCCTGATGCAGGTACTGAACCTACTAATTGTCACACTGGTAATAACTGCACACATAGTTATTACCAGTGTGACAATTAGAAGGTGTGAACAGTGACATAAAGGAATGTAAAAATTGACTGGAAGTGATCCATGAAAATGCAGCTTGACAGTAAGGCCAATCTTATTAGTATTAGTTTTAAACAAAGTGGTAGTAAGAGAACTCTGACCAACAATTATTAAATATAAAGTATATTAGAAAAATAAAATGAAAAAATAAATAGAATGGATGATGAGAATAAATTTAAAATGTAGTAAGAAATATTAATAAAAAACAAGTAATGTTAATGGAAGGATAGAAATGAAAAACAATTGCTTGTTGATAATTTTAGTACTATGCTGAAATCTTAGAATCACTGAACTTATTTAATTTAAAAAGTTCTTTATATTATCAGCAAATGACATGCTGCTCCAAGTTCATCTATAAAGATAATGAATATGTCTGCAATATAGAGGTCATTTGACTCAATCGTTGTGCCAACTGTGTCAAGTCCAAAAAATTAAGCAATAAATAAAGTTAAATAAGGATATAGAGAAATCCTAGCATTCATAGTCATATAGTTTAAGACATAATCTGTATGTAGAAGGAATAGTTGTGATAATTAAATTCTGTAACTAGGGCTTCAACAAAGTCAAAATATATTGCAAGATTCATAATTTTAATTGTTTTTCATGTTATTCAAAATTGTTCTTCAATCTGTTTAGTTATTGTGTTAGAATAGAGAGTTAACTTAAGTATTTGCTATACTGCAAGATCCATTATTAAACTGTGCAACCACAGTTTAATAATGGATACCACAGTGCAACCACAGTTTGATACAAATTTAAATCCATTATTAAACTGTGCAACCACAGTTTAATAATGGATTTAAATTTGTATCAAAAATAGAGAATCACAGCAATTGTTAAGATTAAAAATGGGACATTATTGGTTTTAATAAGTATCACAATTGTTAGAACAGTCCTGCAATTTTCCTCTATTATATTAGGTATGCCTCTTTATATGAAAACATGAGTTTAACAGAATAAACTGTAATATAAGTTTATGCTATTAAACTATGTCTTTAATTTACAAGCATTGAAACTTACTTTCTAATAAACTTACATAAAGTATAGTGAAATTCTTAAAATCACAATGCTCAAGATAACTCAAAACTTTACCTGTTAGAAATTGTTACATCCACTCTCCATCTTAAAGATTTTAAAATGGGTAAACTTGGTCCTTGCTTTAATCTACCTGCATCAATGGCTATTCTTCTAAATAGAAGAAAGTATATAACAAATTATTGTTAAGAAAATTTCTAATCTTTAAACAAATAACAGCAGTAAACAGAATAATTATTTTAATTTAATGTTGCTATTTGTATAAAACTTTTTAATTTAGTGTTAATTAATATAACATTATTTTATATTAAAATATTTTAAAAATTATTATAACTAAATGACTAGGAAAAGATATTATAAAACTTTATTGACAATATTAAGATTTCATTTTTGTTGCTCATCATTAGGAATATATGTAATAAATTTATCCATTTATTCTAAAACTTTTTCAAAGATTTACTAAATATTTATTAATTCATATGTTTCTAAAATGTATTATTTAAGACTAAGCAGCATAGCTATACCTTTTCTTTTATATTTGGCATGATTCTAATTAATTACCTTCTAATTATCAATTGCAATATTCTTTTACTTCTGTTTGTTACTTTCTTGAAGGTAATTTTAATATCTACTGATTCTAGTCCCATGTTGAAAAAATATCTAGATACATATTTTTTTCTTTTTTTCTTTCTCTCAACAAAAATATGTCTTGGTTAATTTCTTATTTACAGTTAAATTGAGATATTCAATGAAAAAGTTATAATTTATCAATTGTTACATTTTTGGTACATTTAACTTTTTATCTTAAGCTAACAGCTTAATAATCCATATATAATATAAAAATTCAATTGGGAAAGCACATACCCATTTTATTTGAATAATAACTGTGGTTACTATTTTAAACATCATATTTTCTCTGCAGTTATTATTTGAGGGCAATTATTATTTTCTTTGCACATACTCATTTGATGTCTGTTATTAATAAAGTATTTAAACTTTATTTATAAAAGTTCGAGTTTTTAAAAATTACACTTGAAATGGCAACTGGTACCATTATTATGAATTTTACTTTTCAAATACCAGTAATTAAAAACAATAATTAAAAAATTTATTTAACAAACAAACTATTAGAATTAAATGAATACAACACCTGCCTATCTACCTATCTACCATAATTTAATTATTTTGTTTCCCTAAGCTTTCATAAACCCTTGAATACTACTATATCACTACTATTTGAGGCTTCAATTTTTACAAAGTGCACCTATTATTCAATGACTATTAAAATGTGCCTTTTATTATTATATTTAAGAAAAAGATCATATATTAAAATTGGGGGGTAATTTTCCATATGAATTATATAAACTTAGAGAGAGACTTTTTCCAATGTGTTCATCTCCTAATATATAAAAATTTCATTTGTTTTAAAACTACCATATGTGATGTTTTAGTTCTAAATTGTTAATTTTTACATCTTGTTAAATTAAAAAAGCATTTCTTTATATGGTACGATCAAGTAATATTCTTTGCTTTCATTTATTGTTTTGACTTTTTATATATTTTTAGTTATTGGATATGAAATTGGGAGATTATTTTAAAAGAAATAATATGATTTTCTACATGTCAATTATTTATTATCAGTATGTTTTTAAGCAAAAAAACATATCCTGATTGATTTGGTCCAAAAAGTATTTTCATTAATAATAAAATATGGAATTTTCAAATTTTTCCTAAAATTTTTGAATCTCCCAATCTGTAAAGATTCAGAAATAAAATCTGCTTTTGAGAAATTTTTTCCTAAAATTTTAAGTGATTTTTTTGTAGGTTATTTATAAAGATTTTATCACTTTTTGCCCTTTTATTAATGTTCTAGAAACTCCTGATTTCCAGTAGTGCACAAATAAAATATTTTTTTTAAATTTATTTTTTGTAAGTTTCTTTTACTGATTTTTAAGAATTTTTACATGGTTTTGCAACCTTTTAAATTTTTTTTTAAATATCTTAATTCTCAATAGTATAAAAGTAATATTTTGACTACATTTAAAGGTATTTCAGTGTGTAATTTATATATCTATTTTATTATTATTCATTCATATCTTTTACATTTACATCTAAGTTAACAAAATTCATTTCCTTCTGTATACATATTTAATTAAAACCATAAGCTTCAATATAAATCTTTAAAAATTACATACAAGTTCCATTTCTATGTTTGTATGTTATGACAAACTTTTCATGAAAAAATCATATCTGAAAAATCATGACTTATTATTTATCTAATATTTGAAAATAATATGTTAATATCTTCATAAACATCAAAATTTGAAAAAAATTCATGACAATGTGGACAAATTATTTACAAAAAAAAAAAAATTAATTTGGATGAAAGCAGAATGTTAATCTGTTTGAATTCACAGTCTTATTTTAGATGTAAGAATATTGTACACATGTATGTAATGTGTATATGTGTATTGTGCCATTTCCTAAAAATATATATGACAGACTATTGCCAATCTGAACTAATTATTGTATAAGATTATTCAGATTACTGAAAAGTTTAATTAGTGGGTTATATATAAAGAAAAGGAAATCAAAAAAATTAGACAGGTAAATATATTTTAAAAAATTTTCTTAAATATATTTAACTAATATAATATACTAAAATGTGTACATATTAATTTTACATATTTGTCATTATTTCTTAAAATATTGTTATATATTGAAACTAACAAGTCTGTAACCTAAAATATATTGTTTGAAGACAAAATGTATCTTCATTTTTTTGCATTTAAGTGCTGTGATGTAACTATTAAGAATGGTTTTCATTACTTTTATTTTTTGTTTGATTAAAAGTTAGAATTTTTATAAAAAATTTAATATGAGTTTTTTCAAGAAACTGCTATTATTCTTTTTAATAGGTGGCACTTCATATTTAACTTACAGTGATTTGTTATAATTAACATACTTTATTTCATGTATTTTATTACACTTTTAAATTTCATGTTTACTAAAACTGCACAAGATTGTGTGTGGATAATTAAAATTATTAAAATTGAATTATATATAAAATATGCAAATAAAATTATTGAACAGTTTTAAAATTGTCAATTATTTAATATTTAATAAATTTAAATATTTTATTTACCTTGGACCATAAATAACATTAAAAAGATCATCTACAAATTCATCTGGAATCCTAAATTAAATAATAAACAAAACATTAAAAATGAAAATTATTACTTTCATAATAAAATAAATATATATGTAAAAGGAAAAATATTGGATATTATCATCACATATATAAAAAGTATTTCTAAATAATAATAATCTTCAAATATTATAGCATAAAATTTCAATTAAACAACATTATCAGCTGTTTAGAAAAAGAAATGTTTCTGAAGGCAATTTAATCTGAAGTCAAAAGCTGAAAACAATTAAAATTTTATGCTACTGTTATGATAATTATTAGAAATTCTTTTTTTAAAGCAAATAGTTTGATATTTATTATGATATTTTGTCATTGCTTAATCATATTTATTATAAAATTATAATTTTTAATTTATATAAACTGTTCTAACTGGATAGTTCACATTGTTATTATGCAACTAATTATTACAGATGTAAAATAGACAAGAATGAACACACTTTTACTTCAAAATGAATTTTAGTTAATAAACTCAACTGTAATTATGTAGCTATAATTATAATATATATTATAATACATATAAAATATTCAAAATATTTTAAAAGTTAAATGTGGGAAAAAAATTAATATTTTCAATAATTTTACACATTACTGTCTTAAAGGTCAAAATTACAAGCAAGTTCATTAATATAGATAATAAGAAATCTATTTTAGCTATATACTTCCAAATATTAGTCTGTTACAATTAAAATTTATGATCTGGATTTCCTTTGATTTGAATTCATCCAAACAATTTTTAATACAGCATTGTCTTTTCATAAAATTTTTTACTTCAGTAATTTTAAGAAAGAAAGTATATTTTAAAATTTTAAAGAAATTATTTACATTTTAAGAACATTCAAATTAGAATTTTTCTGGATCATATTATCTAATCAATTTTTCTTTTGTTTATAGATTAAATGAAAATATAATCTTTGCTCTTTCAGCAATATTTTTATTCAAATTAAGTGATGAAAAACTAATGTGATAATTGCAGAAAATCTATGTACAACAATTCTTTTCTCACATTAAATAGTAAATGTCATACTGTAAATAAATATCTTTCAATGATAAGCAAGATAAAGATATATTATATATCCCTACTTCTAACAACAGGAAAAGTTAAATTCATTATGAGAAAATAATTATTTTGACAAATAAAAATAGCAGACTAGAACATCAATAATATAGGCTTTAACAAATTATGTTCAAATTTAAAAAAAAAAGCTTCTGTACATGGAAAAAAAAAAATTAAATAAGAAACTTGGCCTATAAGAATGGATAGATTATAACAGTTATGCAAGATGATTGTGTGTTAAAAAAAGAGTGAATATAAAAACAGGGATAAAAGTTGAGGTATCCTAAAAAAGTGAGAGTAGAGAAAATAAATTTAATATTTTATTATTTTACTAATATTTGGATAAAGTCTGAAAATAAGTTGTTCTAATGTTTCTTATGGTCACTGATTATGAAAAGTTAAACTGTCTTGAAAACATTCCAAAAATGTGAAAGTAACTGACTGCTTTCTTAACTTAAAGTTTGTGTGTGTTAATGGGTAAAAAAAAATGCTTTTAAATAAAATCAGAAAACTATAATTATAATAAGAATTAATGTCAAAAAAGCTTTTTAAAAAAACATGAAATAGCTATATTAAAGAATTTGGGTTTTAAAAACAATTCTTTAAAATATATAGGAATCAGCTATTTTTATTACATTGTCATTCAATATAAGAATGTTTTAAAAATTTAAATACCTTGACTAATGATTTATTAAGAAATTTTTGTTCAAATTTTAATTAATATTCAATTTTTATTTGCTGTGGTGTAAAATAAATTGACCTGACATTTGACTCTTACAATAAACTAATAAATGACAATATGAAGTGTTATATAGAAACAATATCAGCCTATTAGAATGAATATTTTATTAAAAACAATGTTTTTCAAAGTATTAAAAATTAAATTCTTCCAATAAAAACAGAAAAAATCCTTAGATTTTTATCTTTATCGTTGTAAAGATATAAATGTAAGGATTTACTAAAAAAAATTCAAATTGCATTTTAATATTGAAAAATATGTTGTATATATAAAATTATATTACATACTTAATTCATACTATATAGTTAATTTATATATGCATTGGAAGTCATATAATAAAATTTTGTTTTCTAAATATTTTTATGTATAAGTTATATTATTATTTTGCACCATTGATCTATGTTCTGTGTATAATATTCTAATATATTACAGAAATTATATTAGAACAGACTACACACTTAAAATATAATGAGCTCTGTTAGATTTACAAGTATATAGTTACATAGAATAAAACTTAGAACTGAAAATTAAAGCAACACACAAAAAAATTTATTATTGGGCTGCAATTTGAAAAAATTGTAGACAAATTTCCATTATCATCTGTCTTTCCTTAATCTCGAGTACAGGGTTAGATAGATGAAAGTCAAGACCAGATAGGGAAAGCTTAGGGACAGGAGGCCCTGATTAACTATATATGAACTTCGAATTTGCATTGGAAGTGACGCAAACTCAATTCAAAACTTTACCTATGAAAACAGTTAATAGAAGATTGGCATGACTTTATTGTTAAAGGAAAAGTATGATGTACAGGGGCAAGATACTACTAATTTGGGGTGGAGAGCATATATTTTAAATTAAATAAATATGATTAAAAATTGCAGCAGTATTGTGACAATGTCACAGTAAATAATTGCCTATTATTATTATTATTATTATTATTATTGTTTCAAATGTCATGCTCAGCTGATACTGGTGCCAAGTGCTATGCTGAACTAAAGTCAAGACATAGCTACCCAAACAAGTGTAACATTTCTAGACTTTTGTATAGTGTATGTAGTATTATACCAGTGGAAGAGAGGGCAATAGGCACAATAAATACCCTATCCATCCTCCACATTGCCTAATTTCTTGGGTGAATGAAGTATTCTTGTTGATTTTTTTCAGTGTGAGCATTTTTTGAGTGTTTGGAATGGGGATGTGTGTTGAATAAGTGATCTTATTGCAATAAATAAAAGTGATGTCAGGTCTATTGTGATGAATTGTTTCATCTGTGATTATGGCTCTGTCATAGTATATTTTATGTGTCATTTTCTAACACTGTCTGTGGAGTATATTTGTAGTATGGTACCTGAATTTTTAATAATCTGTGCTTCTGTGCAAGCTCTTAGTGTATTATATTTGCTACTTCATTATGCCTATGTAAATAATCTGTTTGTGCTAAGAGCTTGCAACCAGTTATATTGTTTCTGGCAGAATATGGTATATTCTGCAAAAGTCACTTGTGTATGATGTAATCTTCAGAATGTGTTTTTTATAATTTCTAGTGTTTAAGACCTGATTTTGAATGGCAACCATAAACCCCCATCTATCACAGTGTGGTGCCAAAATCCGGACAAAATTCAATTTCAAATTCCTGCCGTTCTATACTACCGGTAGATGTTGTGTTTGGTGTTCAAATATCTTGACACATTTACTAAATCATCATAACCTCGAAACAGTCGTAATTTGAAACCAAGTGTGGAGTATAACCAAAGAGCCACAATTATCGAAAGTGTTTGCGTTGGGCACTCAGCAACAGAAATCATTTGGTTCTTTGGGTACCCAAGATCGACTGTGTATAATGTTGTCACAAAGTACAATGAGTCAGAGAAGTCCAACGAAGGTTTTACAACACCGGCGAAGAAAACTCACTCGAAGGAGCATGTTGTCAGGACGCCTGAAATCATTCAATGTGCTCAGGAGCTGATTTTTGAGGATCCAGGTCAGCCGACCCAAAAATTGTCATCGGTTGTTGCTGTGAGTGAGAAAACTGTGCGAAGAATCATTGAGGAGGACCTGTGTTACAAGTCTTACACAATTAAAATGAATCATTTGGTGCAAAATTGGTTGTCGAACATCATCAACATGTTTTGGTCAAAAGAATTCTGCCCTCCAAGCAGTCCAGATTTGAATTGTTTGAACTTCTATGTATGGAGCATAGTTGAAAGGTCACGAACAAGTCCAGACATCCAAACCTCGCATCATTGAGAGATGCTATTGATGCAGCATTCGCTGATATGGACCACGACACATTAAAGTGTGCCTGCGCATGCTTCAGACCAAGAATGGAGGTGGTCATTCAAGCAGGAGGATATTGAGTAAATGTATTCTTTATGGCCTTATAAACAATGTGGTTAAAAATACTTGTAAACATTTTTGCAATAAAAAATATGTTTGAAAAAAACGTGTAATTTGTCTGGATTTTGGCACTGCACCCTGTACAATCCTAGACATCCAGTAGTTTGATGCAGCTTTATCAACATTACTATTATGTTGGGCTTAGTGAGTTATACTCAGTTGACAGCAATAGTTGTGTACTATGCCAAATCACCAGAGTCAAGGCATAGTAACCAAAAGAAGACAAAAATTAAATAAGTGTGTCAGTGTGTGTGTCTGTATTCAGGAATTTCCTAACAATATGACATGTATTCAATATAGTGGTCTTCTATAGTGTGATGTATGTGTTTCTATTCAATTGTAGTGTTCCCAGGCTTTTGTGTAGTGTGTGTATGTATGTAGTGTGTGTGTGGTATGACACCTGTAGAGGAGAGAACGACAGGTACAATAAGCACCTTACCCATCCTCCACAGATGCCTTATTTTCTGGGCGAGTTCTGTGTACTTGCTGACTTTTTCAGTGTTGTACAGTGTTGTACACTGTGCATGTGTTTTGTACATTGCGAGTGTTTGGAATTATTATTATTATTAAGACTAGCTAGTCTAAGACATCTATTTTCAGATATGTAAAAAATGACACTAAACAAAATTAAATATTAAAAACCATTAAAAAAATGATAATATCTGAATTTATTTTCTGTCATATTTTGAAATTTAACTCAATCTTTGTAATTTCCAAATGAAAAACATTCAGAATACTGTGTGTGTGTTTCCAGAATTTTTAAAACCAATTTTTCATAAAACATCACAAAATACATATGCATATATAAATTTAAAGAATATGTATTTTTAGAAGAAAGAAGAAATATACAGTACTGTACATATATTATAATTTTGAATAATACATATCTTTTTCTTTTTGTAAAAATTAAAAATTAAAGTATAATTTTAACTGTATTATTTTGTAATTGAAATAATGTGAAATTTGAAAAAATTCTTATAAATTTATATAAAATCAATCAATTCAAACAACATATTTAAAGTGAAAAAAATTAAAATAAAATAATAAAATACAATTCATTTATAATGTATTAATTATGAATTATTGAAATATTACACAACAGAACTAAAATGATAAATTAACATAATAAAAATGAGCAATCATTTATTGTGACATTAAAAATTGCAACCTGACATTGTGAAAATTGTATTTTTAATTTATTTAATTTAAAATATATGCTCTCAAATTCAAATTAGTAGTGAATTGCCCCTGTACATCATACTTTTCCTTTAAGAACAGAGTTGTTCCATCATTTATCTAACACCTTTCAGGGGAAAATTTTGGAATTGAAATAACATCACTTCTGGTTAGCATTGGAAGTTCTTATATAGTTAATTGGGGTCTCCTGCCCCTAAGGTTTCTGTATCTGGTCTCTGATTTCATCTATCTAATTCTGTTCTCGAGATAAAGTAAAGACAGATAGATATGAGGGCTGTTCAAAAAGTATCGAACCTTTGGTCAGCAAAAATACATTTATTAATTTTGAGGTACAAAACCCTAATCACCTTCAAAGTAGTCTCCTTGCTAGTGTATACACTTCTCCCAGCATTCCTGCCATTGTGGGAAACACTGCTGGAAAGCATCTTTTGGAATGGCCATCAGCCGGTCCACCGCATTCCGTACGATGTCTTCTCTCGACTAAAATCGGGTTCCTTTTAGCGGCATTTTCAGCTTGGGAAATAGCCAAAAGTCACATGGAGCCATGTGGGGAGAGTACNTGAAACCAAGTGTGGAGTATAACCAAAGAGCCACAATTATCGAAAGTGTTTGCGTTGGGCACTCAGCAACAGAAATCATTTGGTTCTTTGGGTACCCAAGATCGACTGTGTATAATGTTGTCACAAAGTACAATGAGTCAGAGAAGTCCAACGAAGGTTTTACAACACCGGCGAAGAAAACTCACTCGAAGGAGCATGTTGTCAGGACGCCTGAAATCATTCAATGTGCTCAGGAGCTGATTTTTGAGGATCCAGGTCAGCCGACCCAAAAATTGTCATCGGTTGTTGCTGTGAGTGAGAAAACTGTGCGAAGAATCATTGAGGAGGACCTGTGTTACAAGTCTTACACAATTAAAATGAATCATTTGGTGCAAAATTGGTTGTCGAACATCATCAACATGTTTTGGTCAAAAGAATTCTGCCCTCCAAGCAGTCCAGATTTGAATTGTTTGAACTTCTATGTATGGAGCATAGTTGAAAGGTCACGAACAAGTCCAGACATCCAAACCTCGCATCATTGAGAGATGCTATTGATGCAGCATTCGCTGATATGGACCACGACACATTAAAGTGTGCCTGCGCATGCTTCAGACCAAGAATGGAGGTGGTCATTCAAGCAGGAGGATATTGAGTAAATGTATTCTTTATGGCCTTATAAACAATGTGGTTAAAAATACTTGTAAACATTTTTGCAATAAAAAATATGTTTGAAAAAAACGTGTAATTTGTCTGGATTTTGGCACTGCACCCTGTACAATCCTAGACATCCAGTAGTTTGATGCAGCTTTATCAACATTACTATTATGTTGGGCTTAGTGAGTTATACTCAGTTGACAGCAATAGTTGTGTACTATGCCAAATCACCAGAGTCAAGGCATAGTAACCAAAAGAAGACAAAAATTAAATAAGTGTGTCAGTGTGTGTGTCTGTATTCAGGAATTTCCTAACAATATGACATGTATTCAATATAGTGGTCTTCTATAGTGTGATGTATGTGTTTCTATTCAATTGTAGTGTTCCCAGGCTTTTGTGTAGTGTGTGTATGTATGTAGTGTGTGTGTGGTATGACACCTGTAGAGGAGAGAACGACAGGTACAATAAGCACCTTACCCATCCTCCACAGATGCCTTATTTTCTGGGCGAGTTCTGTGTACTTGCTGACTTTTTCAGTGTTGTACAGTGTTGTACACTGTGCATGTGTTTTGTACATTGCGAGTGTTTGGAATTATTATTATTATTAAGACTAGCTAGTCTAAGACATCTATTTTCAGATATGTAAAAAATGACACTAAACAAAATTAAATATTAAAAACCATTAAAAAAATGATAATATCTGAATTTATTTTCTGTCATATTTTGAAATTTAACTCAATCTTTGTAATTTCCAAATGAAAAACATTCAGAATACTGTGTGTGTGTTTCCAGAATTTTTAAAACCAATTTTTCATAAAACATCACAAAATACATATGCATATATAAATTTAAAGAATATGTATTTTTAGAAGAAAGAAGAAATATACAGTACTGTACATATATTATAATTTTGAATAATACATATCTTTTTCTTTTTGTAAAAATTAAAAATTAAAGTATAATTTTAACTGTATTATTTTGTAATTGAAATAATGTGAAATTTGAAAAAATTCTTATAAATTTATATAAAATCAATCAATTCAAACAACATATTTAAAGTGAAAAAAATTAAAATAAAATAATAAAATACAATTCATTTATAATGTATTAATTATGAATTATTGAAATATTACACAACAGAACTAAAATGATAAATTAACATAATAAAAATGAGCAATCATTTATTGTGACATTAAAAATTGCAACCTGACATTGTGAAAATTGTATTTTTAATTTATTTAATTTAAAATATATGCTCTCAAATTCAAATTAGTAGTGAATTGCCCCTGTACATCATACTTTTCCTTTAAGAACAGAGTTGTTCCATCATTTATCTAACACCTTTCAGGGGAAAATTTTGGAATTGAAATAACATCACTTCTGGTTAGCATTGGAAGTTCTTATATAGTTAATTGGGGTCTCCTGCCCCTAAGGTTTCTGTATCTGGTCTCTGATTTCATCTATCTAATTCTGTTCTCGAGATAAAGTAAAGACAGATAGATATGAGGGCTGTTCAAAAAGTATCGAACCTTTGGTCAGCAAAAATACATTTATTAATTTTGAGGTACAAAACCCTAATCACCTTCAAAGTAGTCTCCTTGCTAGTGTATACACTTCTCCCAGCATTCCTGCCATTGTGGGAAACACTGCTGGAAAGCATCTTTTGGAATGGCCATCAGCCGGTCCACCGCATTCCGTACGATGTCTTCTCTCGACTAAAATCGGGTTCCTTTTAGCGGCATTTTCAGCTTGGGAAATAGCCAAAAGTCACATGGAGCCATGTGGGGAGAGTACGGAGTGTGACAAACCACAGGAGTGTTGTGTTTGGCGACGAAAGCCCAAATCAGATGCGCAGAATGGGCGGATGCGTTATCACGATGGAGCTGCCAAGTTTTGATTGACCACAGATCCGGTCGTTTGCATCGCACAGCATCACAAAGACGACGAAGGACCTCCTGGTAGTACTCCTTTGCGATGGTTTGGCCTTGTGGTGCGTACTCACGATACACCACCCCATGAGAGTCGAAAAAACTGTCAACATGACCTTGCTATTGCTGCAGACCTGCCGCGCTTTTTTGGCCTCGAGGATCGTCCCCGAAAGCCTGCTGAATCTTGCGAATGGTTTACACTTGGGTATCACCAAGCTTTTTGGCAAAATTTGATGCAATATCGCTCCCACGTTGTTCAGTCATTTTCCAACTTAGTGAAACCCCACGAGCGCTCACTACATGTTCTCACTCATAGGCCGACTGCCAGCGACTGACGCTTCCTGCAGACTGGAAAAAATTCAGGACTGTGCATGACTGTCCCCTCCACAACTCCACCGAAAGAGGCCTCCCGCGCATCATTGGTTTACGCAGAAAAATTAAAAGTCTGATACTTTTTGAACAGACCTCGTAGACAAACGACAGGGAAATTTATAGATCTACAATTTTTTCAAATTGCGGTCAAATAAATCAACATTTAAGATTAATAATATCTTACTCTGTATACTTTATGCATTCATATACAAAAAAGCTAAAAGTATGTATTTTATGGATTTATAGAATTAATGAATTAAAGTACATTAAGAATGAAGTCTATTGGAAAAAATTACAAATCATATTAAGTGAAATGCAAATCATGCTAATATTCAACCTATCTCAAAAATAATTAAGAACAGTTGTTATAAAAGTAAAATAGTTCAAATAATTTATTTTGGCATAATTATTACTATTTTGTTTTAATGCCAATATATAACAATAATAATTTATTTTATATCATCTAATAACTAATTTGATGATCATCACCATTAATAAAGTACAGTATAATAATAAAGTATAAATATCAACAACTACAGTGAAGATACTATTTAAAAAGTAAAATAAATAAATTCCACTTTTATTAAAGTTATATAAAAATATTATTTATCTAGAAAAAAATTTTAAATAGATAATCTTGATAAGATCTAAAAATAATACATAAAAAAGGAAAGAACACTTTTAAAAGAATATAGAACTTGAAAATACTTTTTAAAATCTTTTAAAATAACAATATAGAAAAATTTCTCTCTTAATGAATTGGAAAATAATGACAAAAAATTCTCAGAAACATGATTGAAGGAATATTAAAGGAGTAAGTATAAATAAATATAGTGTTTCTGGAAACAAAAATATGTATTATATTTTGTGTTATTTATTACAGATTTTATTACTTTTATGTATTTTGTAAAAATATATACATTATATATATATATACACATTATATATATGTAATGTATATATATATAAAAGTAAAATAAAACAAACACTATCTGACAATTTACCTTAATTCTTTAAGATCCTCTTTCAATATCTGAAATCATATAAATAAATAAATTTCAGACTTTATGTTAATGAATACACATAACATATTCCATATTCTTATGTATTATAAATAAAAATTTAATTTTTTTTAATAATAAACTTTAGTTATTTTCACATAGTCCAATACACAGTTTTTAAATAGGTAAAAGCTGAAATAAATGGCTAAATTAATATAAGCAATATCAATATCATTTAAAAATATTTAGTAGACTTATAATCTTATTTATTACTATAAACTATAGCTTAAAAACCACAACTAAAAATGTGATTTAGACATCCACATATATATTACTTAAAAAAAATTTTTTATCTTACAATTTTTAAATTACAAATTTAGAATATTACACAAATTTAAATGTTATCTTTTCTATATTCTTAAAATATTTAAAAATTATTTCAAAATATTTTAATTTGAAAAATTTTTCAATTGAATGAGAATAATTCAACAATAAATAATATTTATTTAATTTAAAATAGCATAAAACTTAATTTGATAGATTTTATTTTATACACATTCTATCTTAAAATACAATTTTAATCAGTTGTTTACAAACTATCAATATGTATGGAACACTTCTTACTAAATTTGATATTCATGAAACTTCAAATAAAAGTAACTTGCAGTTATAAAAAAAATTCAGTACAATTATTTAAATCTCATACACTATTTTTAATATCTTTTATTTATCAATATAAAATTTTACCATAATAAAGATTTCTTTAAAAAATTAATTTTCTTCTAAAATTAAAAATTTTTCCTGTATGACAACATTTTTGTCAAAGTAATAATTTTATTGCACTTCTACAATTGAGGGAGTTAATGGGAAAATGACTTATCCCACAAAGCAACAAAAATGAGTTAATAACAAATTTGAGTTTGTGCATCATCAATCCATCTTGTAAGAAACTTTCACAGAAGTTACATGCCTCATAGATTGTGTACATACATTAATAAAATGTTGCATATTAAAGTGATAGTGAATTGAAAAACAAATTCTCCTTTTCTCAAAAACTTCCTAGTGTAGGTTATGCAGTTTTTCATCAAGTTCCTCAATCCTGAAAATTTTCTGCAGAGTGTATAATGAATTTTGATTTAAAAAATAAATGGGCAACACGATTTAATAAATATTATATTGCTGAATATAAATCAAATGTCTTCATATATTATTATTATTCAATATTTTCTATAACCAATTCTTAATATATTAAACTAACTAAATGGCATACAAAATTTATAAATTCAAACTTTTATAAATATCAAAGAATGAATATATTTACACAACAAAGTTACAGACAGATCTTGATAGACTTGCAAAATGTGTATACTCAATCTTAACCTAAAAATGAAACTGTTGAATACATTAAAATATCTTTTAGTAAGTACAATATATTAGAGTCCTAAATTTACATATTAAACAAGCCTTAAAGATAATGCATAATCTTTAAATTCTAATTTGTTTGCAATAAGAAATTTTGCTCTTAATTTTGATTACATAATTTTTATGAAAAACAATCATCATCCTAAACCTATCTAAAATATATTAGATTAATCTAAAGAAAATTTAATTTGTATGAAATTTGAAAGCTGGTTATTGTCATCAAAGCAAAATATTTTATTCCCTAAAATAATACAATGAATTAGTTTAATTTAAAAGAAAATTGTATTGATATATGTGCATGATTTATGTTAAAGATTTACATATATTGCAGAAAATTTACTTTCTTACATAAAATATAAATTTTCTGTTGTATGTTCAATCTAAAAGTACATAAAAAAAATACAATGTAATGGTCATTGTATACTCTTATTATAAAAATGTACATTTTTATTCTTGTTTTAATAATGGCAAATTTTAGATTTTTGAAGTACTGAGATGTAATAGCAAAAAAGTTCTTATGTATGTTATAAAACAATAATAAACATCTCTTTATTTAGAACGTATTTAAAATTGTTTTTGAAAATTTAAGGTATTTAAGAAAGAATAATCAATATTGAATATTTTACATCCAATATATTTTTTCCATAAAGTTAAATTTGATCTCAATAAGTAGTAAGCATTTTTTCAATGTTAAAAAAAATATATATGAATTTTTAGATATAATTAATCACATAACCTGGTATTTCTTGTTATGATATTGTGACCAAAGGGTCAGCACCGCTTTGATGCCTCGTCAGGATGACACCACTGCGTCTTGGTTGACACGGAAGCCACGCTAACTAGGTCATGCAAGCAGTCACGTAACGGAGCAATCAGATTCGGATGGAGGGAGAGACAGCGCACCGGAAGTGACTTACGCAGAGACGGGTTAATGTAACAACCATTTAATCAGTAACGATCAGCCATACAGGACATACAATATATCGATTTTAAATATGCTAGATTTTAGATACATTTGCTACAATTGATATTAGATATATAAAATGGACATTAAAATGGACATAAAAAATTCGGTTAAAGTTCCGTGGTTCTCGAGAGAGAGAGAGAGTTTACATTAGTTGAGTGTGGTGATAAATACCTTGTATGAAATCTTGATCTGCTGCAAGCTGATTGGAAAGAAAGGAAAAGAGTTCTGGACAACAGTTCTTATTCCCACAGTTCTGAGTTAACTAGATGTTATGCAAGGACGTATCCAAAGGAGCACAGGGTATCCATATATTCTAACACAGGAGGAAAAATTTGAGTGGTCCGATCGAGGAACTGATGACGACTCCCCCACTGTGTTGTCTTGTTCTATATTTTGAACTGTTTAAATCGAGATATTAGGTTGAGAGGAGATGAGAAAGCATCGTTGTCAGACCTGAGAACTTAACAGATGTTTTGCTCCCAGAAGTAAAAGTTGACAGTTATTTAACGAGAATATAGCTATGATGTGATGTTAGGAGATAATGATATAAACATATGGAAAGCCAGGATTCGGATCCTCATAATATCAAGAAATAAAAATGTCAATTAATAGAACATATTAATACTATATTATAATATAATGACAAACAGTTTTAAGTCATTGTTATTGCCAATATCCCTTTAATTATCCATGTCACAATGTTATCCTGAAGCAATTGCTAGTAGGAAAGGAAAAGAAGAAAAACAAAAATCATTCAGTAGAAATACTAACTTCTGTCAATTATCACAAAACAAACAATTTTTAATCCTTCAATAAATATTAAAACTAAAAGTTGTTGACAACACGAAATTGAATGTAGAAAATCCTTTTTTCAAGAATAAAAAAGCAATAAAATGAAACAATCAACACAGCAAATCAGCCATTTCTTTGTCTTTTTCTTCAGACCATTACAGATATTTTCCAAGACACACCACCTTGCACTTATTGCACTTATACGTGCACCATCTATTTTTCACTTCTTAATATTTCTATAGTAGTACTGTACCTATCTACAAAAATTATAATTACATGATTACCAAATTTTTCTTTTCTTTTTTAAATTTCCTTATATAGGATGTTTTGTTTTGCAATCAGCATCTTATAATTTTGCAATTTCACTCTCTATGACAATATATAAAGAATCCGATGAAAGCAAAGTAGCCACTCAACTCTATAAAATGTAGTTCTGTAGCTTATATCAACTTCACCAATTAATAAAAATGAATTGTACTTGTAAATAACTATAAGCAAGGATAATACTTTGACTTAACAAATTGTTTTTATTTTTTTACAACTAAAGAAAGTATCAACACTTCAGACACTTCTTGATTTCTTGGTTGGTTATCAGGAGTTCCAATAGTGTAAACAATAGCATCCTATACTTTCCAACTTTAGTATCAGCTAATATCACTGTACAGGCTATTGGTATCTTACCCCAAAAGTAGACTTTGAAATGGATATAAACTTGCCATATTCAAATAAGTTGTTCTAATGAAATGTCACAAAGAAACCTCAGTTTACAGTAATTTAAAATTTTTAATTGTTAGCAAATTAGGTTATTACTAGGACATTGCATGACTTTGTCATATTGTGATAGAATTGAGGCAGAGCTGGAAAAAATTGATCCCTGCACTTGTTATGCACAGAAGAGGCAATGTTTGTACCTGACAGATGCAGATAGGTGAACTTTGCACTTCCGCCACAAAAGAGACTATTCTTATACCTGCCAGCCATGTGAAGACATGATCCTTGCACTGGCCAGGTACAGCGAGATGGTCCTTGCACTTGCTGACATGGAGAGGTGATCCAAGAACAAAGCAATTGCCATTGATTGCTTTGTTCTTTTGTTTTGTTCATTTTTTGCATCTATTTTCCATTAAATGCAGGCAATATTTTTATTTTTGTTTTATTTATTTTTGACTCCTAGGCCTAAACTTCATTAGGTATACTCAGTCACATCAGAGAGCACAGATATTGTCACTTTAATATCTTTTTATATCGAAAACAAAGTCATGAACTCCTATTTTTACTTTCTGGTTCTGTTATATATAACAGAGGGAAAGTATGGCAATCAGTCAAAAAATGACCACCCCAAGATTTTTACATTTTTCGACTGATGATTATTAAATTTATTAAGAGATGGCACCTAATGTCTCCCTCTAGTATCAAATTGTTTTATAATTTATTAGTATTATAGCCATTATCTAGTCCAATGACATATGGCATTGGTTGGCTTGTAGACATCTTCAAAAGTTGAAAAATGCAAAAACATATAGGGGATTTTTCTGTATGTATGGATGCTAATGTATGTGTGGGAACACAAATTTGTTCACCTTCTTTGAGGCTTAATAACTCCTACGCTTTTTGTCAAAAATTTCTGTAATTTTGCAAGGAAGTTTGTTTATTAGGAGGATTAATGCTATTAAATTTTGGTGGTTAAAGGTCAATGCAGTGGAAAGATAAAAAGAGGTCGTGTGTCTTATCTCCAGTAGGGTCAGACTTAATGACAATTTTACTTGTTATTTGCACTTACAATTTTTATAAAACCCATCCCTAGCTCAAAATTAAGCTTTTTGCCATTTTATAATAATTCATAACACATATATATTGTAACAGATGATGCCACACCTGCAGTTCTAAATGTTGTTGGGA